TTGAAATTGTGTTAATTATCAAATTTAATGATGAAATTTAAATTTATCATAATATATTTGCTTTGGGTGTTAAGTTTGTGACCAAATTTAAGAACGCAATTGAATTTTGGGGTAAATTAAGTAATTGAAAAGTAAAAATTAATTACACAATCATTTATATTAATCAAGATTTTAAATAGTACCCGTAATATGATATAACAGCTGCTATTTAGCAGTAGCATCACCTATCTCACCCACAATAGAGATGTGATTGGTAATCATTGAGATCATAAATAACGACATAACAAAAAAATATAACTGTAACGGGATTTTAAAGTTGTTATTTATGTTTTTCTTTCACCAATAAAATGAAAATACATTTCAAAATGATAAAAAAATCATACCCCAAGTCCAAATCATTTAATGAAATTTAAGTCTCAATCAAAATAATTAGGAATATAGACAGTATAAAAATAAAGCTCTAGTAAAAAAACTAATCTTGAAACCGACAAACTCATTTCATCACCCTATGAGATCTTTGAATTTAACAACTTAAGAACTTTATGATTCAATAAATCAATTGCTAAAAGCTCCAAAATCAATCTAATAGAATGGAGAAAGTTGAAATCATTTGAAGGAAAGATAAGAAAGAGGTTGGATATGGTTGTGGGTGACTCTGTTTTGGGATGGAGAAACAAAGTGAACAAAAAAAAAAAAAAAGACAAGAGGAAGATTGATATCATATATAAATTGATTTTTATTTTTTTTATTTTAACCATCTCTTTCTTTTACTTTTGGGAACTGAGTATTTGAATTTTTTTTTTATGATTTGGATTAAAATTTAATAGAGTTGTTAGTTATTAAATAGTAAATTTAATTTTTAATTATCTAAAAAATTTTATAATAAAATTTTAATATTATTAAGTATATTTATTATTAATTTTTTATTCGTAATATTTTTAGATAGAAAGTTTTACAACAAAAGCAAATAATAATGGGAAATAAGTTTTTGGGAATATTTTGAAGATTTTAAATTTTAGATGAAAAATTTGAAAGAAAATGAGAGATGATATGTACAAGTGTTTTTACATGTATTTATACCACATAATTAGATTTTAATCTATTTACCTTAATAATTGTACTTAAAAATATTTAAATGTTCATTATTATTCTTTTTAATTAGATTAATTTATAATATTAATTTTATAATGATAATTTCTCATCAATCATATGCATTTATAGCATTTATATCGATAAAATTCATAGATATATTAATGAACAACATTTTAGATATGTATATTGATTTATGAGTCAAAACTAAAATATATATAATATTTATTTTAATATATAAATTAAAAAATTATAAATTACTTTAAATAAAATAAATATGTTTATAATTATTATTTATTTCATTTATGATAAATTATTTAAAATTTTAAAAAATACACTATTACGATGAACGTATTTATTATTATTATTTTATTCATTATATCCACGATAATAATAACCAAAACCCTACCAAGCGACCGCGCTTTAAATCCGAAATCCCTTACACTGATTATTGAAAAACTACACACACAATTTGAGTCAACTCAAGTTCCCGACTCCAAATCCTATAGCCAGTCGCCAAAGCGGATGCAAAGGCAAAGTTTGTTCAAGGGAAGGGTGCTCTCAACTTCATTTCCGTTGGCTCAATGTCAACAACAAAACCCTTCCCATGCTGTTTACGGTAGTCCGCCTGTGGATTGATCCACTCTCGTTCTTCAATCTCCAACCTTGATTTCTGAATTGCTTCAGTTGAGATGTTGTTCTTGTCATCCCTTTTCTTGACCAGCTCTGGGTCGATCTTGCCCAACTTCACTCCCTGTGGAGACATCATCAATGCTGGTGCACGCATGGGAAGCCTATCACCTTCACAAACACCCAATATCAATTTGTGCATTTGATATTCAAATAAAGGAATAAATGAACTTATATATATCTCTGTCAACCTGCCATGTGCACTAAAACTTGTCATAGGTTTTAGCCAAATTATCCAGTTCTAGTTTCCCTATCGTTTCTGGAATCCCCGGATTGACCCAGAGGCCTGATTTGATCTGCACCAAATTATATGCTCATGATCATGACTAATACTATAATTTATCAACCCCATTTACGGTAAGAACTAAGAAGAAAAGGAAAATAGAAAAAGGGATACAACATGCAACCTCATAAGCATGGTAATGCCAAAGCTTTTGCTCCTCTTGAGGAAGAGCTTCAAATAATCGATCGGAAATTATATATTCAATTCCTGCATAGAAATAAAAAACTTAATAAACCTTTCGTTTTATTGTCACTTACTTCAAAATTAAGGGGAAAAAAATTGACCAATCAGGCAGGCATTAGAGTCCTGAGAATCATAACCAGGGCACGGAGAAAGTCCTGGTTGAGCCTGCTAATAAAGTGGTGAGTCTCAATCTGACGACTCATGTCGTGACTATGCAAGGCAAAGTTGCATACGTGCTGGCTCATCTGCTTCACTGGTGTCAAAGACTGCACCATGGATGCACCCTTGTCTATTGCGTGCTGCCCCATCGTTATCGGTTGCCCGAGTGGGGTTGGCTCGGTACCTCGAGCAGGTGTTGGAGCCGGTGACTTGTCACTGGAGATCACCGGACAGGAGTACTTGTCACTAGAAGCCATTGAAACGCGGTGTTTTAACCCCTTTATTTCTATGCGATCACGCTAGTGTTTGGCGTCGGGGTGTGATTTTGAAGATTGTTCTGAAATGTTGGGAGGTTATAAGGAAAGAGAGAAAGTGGATGGGGAAAGTGGGGGTTTATTTGGGGGGCCACCTTGACATGCATGGAGATTAGGTGGCTGAGGATGGCGAGCTATGTGGACAGGGCTTGTGAGGGAAACTTGGGAACGACGGGGCTATACTGTTTACAGTATCTTACAAGTTCCAAAATGCCAAGATTTCCTATGGCATCAAATTTGGTGAAACAAGTATTTAAGGATCGAAAAGAAGAAAAGGAGGAAAAGAAATGACCAGGGTTATCACTTTTTCATTTTCTCGCTCCTAGCCACTATCGTACAGAAAAGAAATTAATAAAATTAGTTTTGCGGGCTATTTGCCAAGTTAATTTGAAGAAATGCATACTTGATAAGTTGATTTTGGTGTTTACTGTCAAACAACTTGACATGAAACTAAATTGTTTCCAGAACATGGCATTTTAGTTAATGAACATAACAAACACGTTTCAAGCCCACCACATTTTTTCACCAACTTAATTTGAAATAAACATCAAAAGAAAGTAAGAACAAATCTAGAAAAGAAATGTCCATTCGTAGATCAGTTGGATTCTTCTCATGATACTCTACTTAGTTTCCTTCTGTCTCGTCTCCAGCTTTGTTATCGACAGGAGAAACCACAGGGCTCTCAGACTTGTACGTATAACATCTTGAAACAAGCAAATAGACAATGAAATTGGCCAAACTCAATAAAGAAAGCAACAGGTAGAAGAGATTCAGATGATTCCTGTTAATATTGTTTCCTGCTAACCAGCCTCTACTTTTTGTTATATCTTTTGTTGTGCTATTGACTATCTTAACCAGAATGGAACTGAGATAGTACCCAAGCGCCATGGAAGTCCACAAAAAGCAAGTAGAGACCGTTTTTACTCCTCTGGGAGCCTCGGAATAGAAAAATTCAAGAAGACCCACATAGGTGAACAAGTCGGCAATTCCAAATATGAAGTACTGGAATGAGAGCCAGAATACGCTAATAGGCAATGGTTCGAGCACTGGTGTAGCATCTACCATATTGTGGTCTCGTGCCACCGCTTTGCGTTTCACTTCCATTATTGCAGCCGAAGCCATTGATATGGAAGAGAGAATGAGTCCAACGCCTATACGTTGAAGGTGAGTGATCCCTGTGGAATGCCCTGTGAACTTCCGAAGAAGCGGAACAACAATTTGGTCATAAAAGGGAATTATGACGATCAAGAAACCAAGGGGAATTATTGGTAGAGATGCAGGTGGTATGTGGAAAGAGCCAACGACGGTTGTGTCCATGGTAAGGCCTTGTTGGACGGAAAAAGTTTGGAGTTGAGCTAGGCAAAGGGTCATGATTATGGTACAAGCAAAAATTGGGATCATTCCAAGTATGAATTTTGCAGTTTCTACTTGAGTTACCGTGCAGAGTTTCCATGGATTTGGAGTCTGCCGTGTAGATGCAGTTTGAATGGCTGCTTTGTCCAGGAACCTGAATGCAATCATAAACAGTACAAATAAGACTCTTATACCTCTTTGATTGATTATTTATTCAATAGCACCGGGACTTCCTTTTATTAGAAGGAATCGAACAAACCTGTAAACGTCTCTGTGAGGCAGGAAATCATCTTCCAAGGCAGCTTCATTGTCCTTGTCAATCTCATAGAGCTCTCGAGGGTTCTCAGGCAGTTGAAGATTTCTGTTACGAATGGCTGCAACAAAAACCTTCAACAAAACCAAAACGAAGTGAATTAACTAATTTTTGACAAATAGAACATGTAAAAAAATGAGAAATTTGATTTTCATATAGAATTGATGGAGTTTTCATGCAAACCTGAATGATTTGCACAATGACACTAGTTCCTTGAGCAACATGTATCCTATACAATGGCCATCCTGCTACGGCAATGATGATACCCAAGAACAAGGTGATGGCAGAGAGCCCGAATCCCAAATCCCATCCTTTGTGATCATCAATCCAGACAATGAGCGTTAAACTAACTGCACCACCAAGGCACAATGCTAACAATAAAAAGTTGAAGAAACTGGACATGTGCTTAGCCTCTCGGGGGTCTTTCTCGTCGAATTGATCAGCTCCATGTGATGGCACCGAAGCTTTAATCCCTCCTGTTCCGGCAGCAACCAAGTATAGAGCAAAGTAGAGGAATGCAGCATCACCACTTTTTAGTTTCTCACAGGGAGATGTTGGAACAAAGACATTACAAGTAGGTGGCTTGAGGCTTGGATAGTGAGCTTGCACTGAGAGCAATGCTAGTCCCTAGATGCAATGATCATTCACAAACAAAACGAAATGAATTACTAAGTAGAAACAAGTTTGTCGGCTGCGTTATGAAATTTCTAGTCTTGAGGAAAAGAATGAGAGCGGTCCCATTCCCCTACTCCCAAGTTTTCTCTCTTGGGTCAATTTAGAGGAAAATGGATAACATAAGCTGATCATAAAATTAATGATAACAGCTTGCATACCAAGAATTCAATGGATCCTGATATGAGGACGGTTCTAAATCTGCCAATACAACTGTCTGCGAGGACGCCAAACAGAATAGAAAGGATATAACCGGTCCCCATGAAGTTGGTTAGAGCATTGGCTGCATCAGCTACTTCGAAGTGCAAAATCCCATTGAAGTAAGTCACCAGGTTTACGGCCAGATGAAGGTTTGCCAAGCTGTCAAATGCAAACATCGCTGCAGAAAACAAGAAATTATATCTATGAGTTTACAACTGAAACTTTCTTTTACTTTCTTTTTTCATATATATTTTTTCCTTTTTGCAGTACTAAGCACTATTCACTTACCTAAAATGAACAAAGCAGCTCTCATTCCTCCATGCTTATACTTCACAGCTGTTTTCCCCTTCCAGTCCACCTTGCCATCAACAAGCTCAAGTTTCTCCTATAACAAAACCAGACAAGAATTATGATTTTCTCCTTTTTTGGAAAGGAAAAATCCGAATTTTTTCAAAAAGACAGTGAGCAAATGAAACGAGGAAAAGAAGAAAATACCATAGCTACTCAATTAGCTTGCAGCTAGGTCTTGTTATTCCGAGTGCAAAAGATATAATTATCAGTGTTAGGACTACTTAGAAGCAATGAGAGAGCTCTGTCTATATAATGCTCCAAATACAGTAATTAGACCTGGCCCACGAGAGAATGACATGATACAAATTACAAAAGAAAAAAAATACAAAAGTGACATCGTAATAAATATTATGAGTTTAATAAAATTTTAAAAAATACATTTTGTGTTTTTCATATTAATATAAATTGTAATATATAATTTTTATATAAAATATAATATTGAATTCATAAATTATCAATATTTTACGTGTTTCAAATACTCAAATAATATTTACCAACTAGAACGTCTTCTGCTTTGTTTTAAAGCGACTGCATCTCTAGCTGAATATTGCCGACTTCACTAATGAGATATTCCCACTTGCAAAGATTGATCTAGCTAGGAATTAAGCATGCATGTAAATAACATAATGACATGAAAATTTTATAGTATATTATTTATACAAGTGTTTGACTGATTTAGAAATCAAGATCTTTAGCAGAAGCAATGAACAAGCAGAAGGAGTTTGCGCTTATTCCAAATGAGTCACAACGCTGGAGTCTGTTGTCTTTGTTTAACCGGGCGGACTTGTTCTCCTGGGCAAAAGGATGTGGCTCTCACCGGTATTTATAAATCCAAGTTAAACGTCGCTCACAAAGCTGTCAACAGATTATGAAAATCACACAAATTTTTTATAAACCAAACGTCCCTTTAATTGAAGCTTTATGGCACTTGTTATTGTTACGTTGTTCTCCAATGTGGGTCCGATGGTGATTCATAAAAGAGAGTATTTGTGTTGTTGTTACGGAAAACTGAAACAGAATCTGACAAACTCCGACTTATACACGGGATATATTCGCATTGAAGAATACGATCTGGCATGGATAGACATAGAGAACTTGGTGCATCAAGTGATGCTGTTCCAAGACACCTCTTTTTGTCATTACACTCACGGATCAATGTCCATTGGATCTGCATTTTATCCTATCAGCAAGGTTTATTGAGTCCTTTCGAATGATGGCCGGCTTTAGTGTGTCAATTCTGGCTAAGACTTTATAGGGTCAGGCTTTAGATACATTTGCATGTGTGAATGTACATGTATAAGTGCCTGTGGTTCTACTTATTAACATTATGATGCAATATATTGAGATGAAAGTTGACTAATGAGTGATTGAAACTGATCTAAATATAGGAATGGAAAAACCTAAAAAAGAAAAGAAACATGACCACCCAACAATGTTGTGCAATCTTCAAAGGAGAACCAGAACAAGCACTTCATATAACAATGTGATGTTTATTGGGTAACATAGCCTGGTTTTCTAATAATCGAATATTGAAACTAAATTGAGGAAATGAGTTAAATACCTAATAATCTGACTATCAACTGTAACGACAAACAAAGAAACAAAAGAGCACAATGTACAATGAAGGAGGATCACCTGTGCAAAGAATGCTTGACTATACTTACAAGTGGAAAAAGGGTAACCTACCAAAAGAACAAAAAATGTGATCAGTAATTCAGCAATGAGTACTTAATGCGCAATACAATCTTCCCCTTGTCCACCCCAAGCTTAGCCCCTGTAACCAACCAATGACCTGGACTATCCTGTGGTCCTTTTGACATTTCAGTCGAGTCCACAATTTTAGCTAGTTTCCCAACATGGCTTGAATTATCTTCCTTCTTATCCTCAGAAGTTCTCTCATTTGAAACTGATGATGAAGATCCATTGGCTCTCTGTCCACTAGAAAGGCTGGAGGGACTATGATCCCATACAGATCGCCTTATTGTACACCCTGGTACCTTGGAGAAGAGGAGTTTAAGGTGTAATACATTTTTGGAACCGAAGTCCCAAACACCAAGCTGAGCCCCTGTGACAATATGAACGCTTGAGAAGTCTCCAATGCAAGTGTCAGTGTGTTCTATTGGCGCAGTGCTTACATGGGAGAAGTTTTTCCACTTGATGGGCTCGAACCAACGGCTGTCTTGCTCCTCAGGACCTTGCCACTTGGGTGCACCTATGGCCATGTGAGCATCCCAATGGGGTTGAAGGATTTTTGGAAGAGACACTAAATGCTGCAAATAAATTACAAGTCTGTTCTGCTTGTTGCCTTCTAATTTAAGCCTAAGCCCAGTGACTGGTTTACGGCCAACTGTTACCTGCAACACCGTGCCATGCTAATTTAGCTGAAGAAAAAACTTTTTGAGGCTCTTAAGTTATTTGGTGCGGCTCCAAGAAATATTTGTCATTTATTTACCCTTTTTTTCCCACTTGGCAATAAGGAAAATGTCAATGATTATAGTATTTGTAAATTAGAGACATCCAGCACAACCATAGAGATGGAGGTAGTATCCCAAAATGCTACTCAAAGGTTTGAAAGCTCTCTCTATCACACACACAAGCATACATCTAAATGGTTCAACAATTTCCTTCTCAGGGTTCGTCTCTTAAATTTTAGTGACATAACTTATAATTGGGGCCTTACAAAACATTTGCAATAAATCAATTCACAGAGACGACAAACCAGAATTCAGAGATGTGTCCCCCAGGGGCATCCTGTTTTCTTTCAATTTATTAAGAGTGTTTTTTTTTTTTTTTCTTTCGTTAAGGAGTAACAGATATTGGACTTTAAGGAGAGAGATGCAATCTAATATGCACACAAAAAAGCTATAACCCGTGCAGACTTTTTCTCATAACATCCAATAGTGTAGATTTTAGATTTACAGAAAATACCTGATCTGGGCTGATATAAAGCTTGGGACCCATTAAGCTAAACTGAAGGGAGGTACACACAGGTTCCTTCCTTTGAATGTTGCTCTGTTCTGGAGCCCAAGTTCGAGCAATTTGAAAATCCAGGAAATATTGTAAATCCTCAATAGGTGGCTTGTCTGTTAAAGGAAATAGAATCTAAAGAGGATGAAAGATAACATCTTCAACGTCTATGTAAGATAATCATAGTGGATGGCAAGCTGGGAAGAAGTTCACATTTAGAGTTGAAAAGTATGAAACTGTTGAATGAGAACTTACACTCCAAGTATAGTTCAATTGCACGGGCCAAATGTTTTATACCAGGCACTCCTTCAAGAAGAGAAACGATGGGAGTAAATGTCATGTTGATAACATTAGGGGCTGATTCTACAGTCTCGGCCCACTTGGCATGACTCTGCTCAAGGTCATCACCTCCTCTCCTCCTAAAAATGACTGTAACATCCTACAGCAGGAACTCTTTTAGCAACAGATTCCATCACATTAAGGCAAACATAATTTACCCAATGAAAGATACATATAACTGAAGCAGAAGGAAACTTTCCCCCCTCCCCCCCACCCAAAAAAAAAAAAAAATAGCATTCACAGCAAGAAGGTTAAATAATAAACTGGAAGTTGCATAGTAAACTCAAGGGATCATTATATTTAGCATGTGTTTTGACATTGAATCTATGAAGTGAACAACACCATAATACTAACCTTGTCCTTGTATTTTAACAGTGCAGCACTTGACTGGCCTTTGGAATCCAGAAACCTTTGATCCCTAATGTCTTTCACATAGTTCTCAATGTCAATTACTGACAAAGGAGATGACTGGTGCTGTCTGATGTAAACAACGTCTCTCCCACCAATTGTAGCAGAGGTAACAATGTGTGTACCATAATTTTCAATAAAACTGAAACAAGGAAAACAGATCAATATCAACAATTATAACCTGAAGCTATCCACCAACGCGGAATTATCTATGGTTTCTATTACCTTGTCATAAAGAAGAAAAAAAGAAGATTAATGATAAATATGATACAGAACTGACAGAAAAGGATTTGGAGCAGGAATCAAATTTAGTTTGACCTCAGAGAATGCAAGCAACAAATAAAAAGTTTCTAATCTGTAAAGAGATTTCAATAAAAAGTATAGCAAGAAATGTACAGCTGAAGTAATAAACGTTCACTCTTTAAACATAACGCCCATGTCATTTACCTTGCCAAGGATGCGGGATCCCAAGTGTAAGGAACAGCACGTCTGACTTCCTCATGCAGAGCTAAATTTAGCTTTGTTAATTTGACCTTACATAGGGGAATTAAATATCCAACCATGGCAAGGGATTTTGTAGCTGCTGCATCAACTCGCCAAGAACCAGTGAAATTGAACATGGCATTAAAGCTTCCAAGTGGAACATGCCCTGACATACCAGATTTCTCATTAAAGTATCCTGACATCTGGAATTAAAAAATAAAGATGTCCATTAAAGGCAGGTTTCTAACTCGAGCTAAACAAATGCCACTAGAAGTAGAATGATTACTCTTAATTGGGTGATTTTGTCCTCTACACTAAATTGATAAAACTAGAAGTAGAATCTTTCTTTACCCTTACTAATACACCAATACATCAACACAGACAAAAAATTCCTATATATAGGATATTCAACCAGGTGATGCCATCCATAACCAAACAGAAAGGAGGGAATGCTTTAACCAAACAGTTTGGAAGTGTCTAATGGCTTTAACCATAGGACATCATTAACAATGTGAGTCAAGTCCAAATCATAGATGAGGCAATGCTTGGGCAGTGCCCTGGTGAAACACCAATTGCAGTTTAACTTATGACAACTACATCTCAAATTGTTATATGAAATAATATTGCGCAAGTAGAATATATATATTCATTGAATGCACTCAAAGCGTGTATTAAAATATTAGGAATAACCACATCATGACACCAGATGTTGCAAGCATGCCTTACTTAATCTAAAAAACTAAATGGTGTAAATAACAGCATTATACTGGCTAAGCATTTACCGTTGTCATATTCAATTTCATACTGAACAACTGTCACCAGGATAAGAAAATTAAATTAAATTCATAAAGTCGATTTCATATGTTTCAAGAGTCAAAGTCAACTTGTTTATTCTAATGCTTTAGAGGTGGCACAAGAAAATTTTTGCAATCAATAATTACAGTATGCCATGAATGTGCAATAGATAATAGAAAAGGAAGTTAATCCAGACAGACACCATGGAATATACTTGCCTAAGTGGGTTAAACTGTACCGAATTCATATAGCATTTGCTTGGAGGAACAGAAAAAGTTCCCTTGCAACTATCTGTTTATCTCTCACTTTGCTAATCAGAAAACCTAAGGCTGGGAATATGTCAAATAATTGCATTTTTCAAATAACTAAGAAAAATGGAAATCCCAGCATACCCAAATGAACATCAAATTTTAAGCTTTGAAACAAATACCCAGTAATCCCTTTGTCCATCCAACCAAGACAGAAGGCCAATAAAACAGCCAAACAGGGAAATTAAAACTACACAGATAATGAATCATAAATAGGAAAAGATATGAACACCATACAAAGCAAACAAATAAGATAAGAAAAAAAAACCCAACCAAAAACAGATCAAAAAGGGAACAGCAGCAGCCTACCTCATGAAAGCTACAAACTGATTTTCTCTCGATGCCACCTTTGCCCATTGACCACTCAATGTCAACAGACACATTGGGCACAATAACACCACCAGACAAAACAAGATCGTTGGTATGATCTTCTTCAAGTTGAACCAACCTTGACCCAGGTGCCCCTTTGCAATACAACAGCCTTATATCTGAAGTGACATCAAATCCACGACCCAGAGCTTGAATTGAGCTACTAAGTGTAGTAGTCAAAGCATCTAGGCTAGAACATGAGCTCAAGCAGCTGCCACCTCTTGTTCTTGGGTTTTCCATAGAAAAAAAAAAGGAAAAAGTGTTTTTTTGCTTCACAGGACTCTACAAAATGAGAGGTTTTTAATTTGTTTCAAGCTTCTGTTTCATGTTGTTGTTTATTGAAAAGAAATGTAATAAAGACAGGGTTTTTTTTTTCTTTCTTTGTGAGTTTTGGAGTTTGGGAGAGTTGGTGAGTTTTTTTAATGTTGTTGCTATTCTTGTTCTTGTTCCAAGGGGAGGAGCAGGAAGTTGACTACAATGATCGTGAAAAACGCGTTTTACTCTTTTTTTTTTTTTTTTTGTGTTATGTATGAACCAGAAAGGATTCTGAGTTGACTGGTCTTGCCATAGATCTTGTTTTTGTTTCCGTAATCTCTTATTATTGTTATTTTTTTCAGTGTTTTTGGCCCAGGGTTCCCTACAAAGTACAAAGTGTGCGTAACCCTGTGTTATCAGATAGAATGTGCTATGGCTTTTTTTTTTACCTATTATCGATACAGTACTACAAGTACAAGAAAATCTCTTCTTTGGGCAAAAAACCATCCTTGGCAATCAAAGTCCTATTTTTGGTTTAATTTTCAATTAATCGCAGTACTTGAATGAATTAAAAAAGGCCAGTCCTTTTATTTTTTCAAATTTATTAGATAAGTTTCTATCTTTTTAATTGTTAAATCCAATTAAAATCTTAAAATATTATTTTTCTCCTATTAAAATTTTAAATACTAATTTTAACTAATTAAACTCTTAAATTATAATTTTTATTTAATTAAATCTCAATTTTTCTAATAAACTTTAGTAATTTTCATAAAAATTAATTGCTTAATTAAAAAGAAATAAAACTTAAAGATATTAATTGAGTAAGATAAAGAATAAGGCTATATTTGAAAATTTGAGAAAGTATATGGACTTTTTTAATAATAAACAAAAAATAGTAGTTTTCATATTATATTTAAACATGTTGGATTAATAAAATTGACCATTTTATAACCAGAAAAGCTTGGCTAAAAACAAGGTACCTAGGAATGAAATTAAAGCACAAATAGTTTTTTTAAATGCAAAAATAATAATAATAATAATAAATAATCATTTGTAATAAATTTGTGAAAACATGGTAATAAATTCTTAATAATATAGTAGCAAACAAATTATAATATAATAGTAAATTTGATAAATATAATGATAAAAAATTTACATAAGCTACAATAAAAGAATAAAAGTATTTCTTTATATTTTTGCAGATATCTTCATTTTTATAATACCAAGAACTATATTTTTAAATTTTAAAATTACGTCAACTTAACATAATAACTCGTAATTAACTCACAAATTGGGATACTAAAATAAATTTGTTAGATTTTTTATTATTGTTAATCCTTTATAATTTAATACTCCTTCTATCCCGATTATTTTGTTTCATGTTAACTTAACATAAGAATTGGTCAATATTTTTCTTTATCTTTTCTAGCTCTATTTTGCAGTTAGTTTCTAAAAATCCTTTTACCTCTCCAGTCTTTTACTCCAGGATGAATTCTATGGATATCCATACTACAATGGAGTCTGTAATGATAATTACAAATGGAAGACAACTAAATAAACACTTAACTAGAGAATAATGACAAATTTTATTTGAAGCTCTATTAAAATAGGGTAGTGATGGAAAGTTAAAAAAGGTTTTATTGGTAGAACTGCATACATGTTTTCAGTCTCAACAAGGACTGTGATTAGGCTATTGGATCAAGAAAAACAATTTGTGGAATAAGGTATTGTATTTGATGTTAAGAGTAAGTATCAACAAAGGGCTCTTTCAAAAAAGAGGATTTCCATTGACCAAATATTCAATCAATGGCCAAAGCTTTAAATATGTCAAAGTCGACTCTTCATCGTCGAATCGAGGAAGGTGTTATCAGGCCACATACTAATGCTTTAAAGCCTTATCTAACTTATGAAAACAAAATAGCAAGATTATAATTTTGTTTATCAATGATTGAGCAAGGTACTCTGACCACAAACCCTAATTAATGCATATTGATGAAAAGTGGTTTTATTTTTCAAAAACATCAAAGAGATATTACCTTCATCCAAATAAGATCGAACCTTTTCGTACTTGTAAAAGTAAATGATTTATCACTAAAGTGATGTTTTTAACTGCAGTAGCTAGACCACGTTTTGATGATTTTGGCAATTGTGAATTTTCTGGAAAAATAAGAAATTTTCCATTATCAACTAGCTGGAACTTTAGAGACCAAACCTATTTTATCAGTAACTAAATATGTCACAAGATCATATTAAATTAATAAAGTGTTACTAGCAATCAGAGCTAAATGGCCTCCTTCCAGTGAAGGAAGAATTTTCATTCAATAAGATAATGCAAAGCCACACATCGACATTGATGATAAATAATTTCTTCAAGCTGCAAGAATGGATGGATTTAACTTTTACTTATTTTTTCAACCTCCAAGTTGTCCTGATTTAAATGTATTGGAGCTTGGATTTTTAGAGCAATACAATCTTTACAACAAGAAGAAGCTCTTACAACAATTGATGAGTTAGTGACAACTATAGAAAATTCTTTTAATCAGTTGTCAGTAGAGCTTGAATAATGTGTTTTTAACATTACAAGCTTGCATGGTTGAAATTATGAAGATTAATGGAGGAAACAATTATAGGCTGCCACATATAGGTAAGCAAAGGTTGAAAAGAAATGGAGAACTTTCAGTCCAACTTCATTGTAACCAAGAAATTATGCAAAAAGCTTTGCTTCAAATCAATTTCAAAGTTGAAAGCAATAGAAATGTAGGATTTATGAAAAAAAATATATTTTTGGTTAGATAGATAATGATAATTTTGCATGTTTTTAGAACATTAGAAATGTTACAAAGTTAGATAGGTAATGATCTTTTTTTTTTTTTTTAACCATGACACTACTTTTGTAAATCTTGACTATATATGACTTGAGTAAATACGGTGCTTTTGTATAAAGATTAATTGATTTGCTCTAGTAAATGTAAAAGGATTTTGTAAAGATTATGTAAGCACTTTTGCGGTGAAAAGTTTTAAATATAGATGGATAGTTTTGTTGTAGAAGTTGTTTTCTTTAATTTTTTTACTCAATTTATTTTTTAATTCTTGATTCACATGACCACTAAGTATAATGGTGTAAAAAATTTACAGTTATGATGTTGAAATTTTTTTTAATAATTTTAAAATTAATATATAACAAAGAGCAAAGAAGGAAATATAGATGTTAAAATTTGTTGATTTTTCAAAGTGACATTTTGAATGGGACAATTTTAAAACTCTAAAGCGACAGGCTTATTGGTGTGGAGAGAGTAGTAAATTCTTTATAATTTAATAACAAATCATTAACAACTTAAAGAAACTATTACTTATGATACACTAAGTAAATCACTTATAATTTAATAGCTAATCAAGAAAAAATAGATAAAAATTCAACGATATTTTCATTGTAAATTATTTATAACCTATCAGTAAATTACTTATAACTTAATAGTAAATCTCAAATAACTTTTTGGTAAATCACCTATAAAATTTATAGTAAATCATTTATAACCTAACAATAAATCACTCAAAATTTAATAATAAATCTTCAATAACCTAATAGTAAATCATCTTATAATATAGTAGTAAATCTCTAATAATTTAGAAGTAAATCCCTTATAATCAAGTTGTAAATACCATATAACCTAGTTATAAATCATTTATAATTTAATAATAAATCATCTATAATTTAAAGGGAGAAATCAACTTACACTAAAAAGTTTTATACTTTTTTTCTAATAATTGATTTAATAGATCTAAGAAATAAGATTAAATTTTTTTCCTTTTTTTCATTTGTTTCTTTCATCCTTTGAATTTATTGAAATCAATTATTAAAAAAATATGTAAAATTTTTTAGTTTTATATCAAAATAAGTTAATCATTTCTTATAATTTAATAATAAATATCTATAATAGAAAATTACCAATAAAATGTACTAAATCCCTTATACCTATAGTTGTAAATCTCTTATAACTTAATAATAAATTACTTATAATTTAATAATAAATCACTTATAATTTAGAATAATGAATCACTTGTAACCAAGTAGAATGCACTTATAATCAAGTAATGAATCACCTATAACATAATAGAAACTCACTTATAATCAAATAGTAAATTACTTTTAAATAAAAAATTACCTATGATCAAGTCTTTAATTTAATGATTAAAAACGTTTAAAAAGACATTAAAAATTTGATTTCGAATTAAAAATTTTTTTTTATACTAAAATTTTATCTTTATGATATAATAAAAAAAATCTCCTATAACCAAGTAACTGGTCAGTCATGTATAACGAAGTATTAAATGACCTATAATCAATGAATAAAAAATTAGAGCGGTGGTCAAATCGATGAGACCTCTGGCCTCCAATTCAATGAGTCTAATAGGTTAGATCGGTCGGTCCAAAATTCTTTCAAAATTAAATTTTACAAAAAAAAAAAATCAAGAAAAATCTAAAAAAAAAAAAAATTATATAATGCAACTAGGAGACAAGTCTATCACAATCTAAAATTTAAAATCAAAGTTCCAAATTTTAACAAAAAAAAAGTAAAAAAAAAAAATCACAAGCGTGTCTTTCATCAATTTCTTCAATTATTATCATTAGGATCTGGGTTTTGAGATGAGCCTTATGTCTTATATATTATTTGGGTTAAAAAATTCAAAGTTCATTTTAATTTGGATTGAGAAGTAATTCAAGAAAATATAATTTAATAATAAATTATTATAATAAACTTAATAATAAATTTTGTAATTCAATTAATAATAAATAAATTTTAAATCAGTACGATACACTAAATACATTTATAAATTAACAAATTCATTTATAAGTTCTTTTGTTTCTAAAATTATAATATAAGTTTTAAAGTTTATTGACAACTCAAATTTTATATCTTTATAAAGTATTTCACTTAAAATTCGTTTTACTATAATTCTACAATTGTCTATCATAATTTAAAATTACGTAAAAGTCCATTACTTATAAGTATAAATTTTATATAAAATCTTAATAGATTTCTTGTAAGTGAAACGCTGGTGATATGATCCTTTATTTTTTATTTGGATTTTGTACATTTCAATAGAGTAAAATAAGTAAATTATATGTTGGATATAGTTATGCAATCATTAAAATTTTTGAAAACTCAAATTATAATTTATTAAATCTAATTAATCTTTAAACAAAAGTCAATCATATTCTTGATTTCAAGGAAACAAAAGTCAATC